CGAAGCCACCTTTGGGGTTTCTTAAAAGTACAGTTGTCCTTAGCAGTTCCCTTAATTGGTGTGGCTGATCAACGTTGGAGCAATTAAAATGAGACAGGGATGTCTAGCCTCACTCTCCGCAGCTCGGCCGGTTGTGGCTTAGAGAAATCCAAATGCTGGTCTAAATCAGCTTCAGGTTCAAAAAGGTTTAACAAAAGCCCAAAGTCCATTTTCACAGGTGTTTCATTTCAAGCTTTCAGTGTGACGTATTTGCTATGTGCCCGGGGAAAGCGTTGAATGAGGATAAATGCTGCTTTACTGTGACCTAAGTGAGTCTAGATTCTTTAAAACAGGCTGAACACGTACATACACAAACTGTTACTTGATTAAAGTGTCCGTGGGTTTTGCAAGAGACTCTTAAGGGACCTGTGTGTTGGTGAAAGCTTTAAAGTGTGTGTGTGAACTTGTGTTTTATTTAAAAGTTAATGCTTAGCTCATTGCTGTTTAGCTTCATTCACCTGACAAGAGACGTCCTGCACATATTTACCTTTCCCTCGTATTTCATAAAATTCCTTCTGAGCAGTATTGTGTGCACGACACGGTGAGATGCTTGACTCGCACACAGCATGAGATACTTAGGAAGCTTAATAATTAAAGGTCAGGAATGTGTGTGTGTGTTTTTGTTTGTTTGTTTTTGGTTTTTTGGGGGGTTTTAAGGTCAGCAAAAGTATTCACCCTCAGTCTGAATCTTTGAGATGATTAAACTGAGTCTGGTGTGACTTTTGAGAACAGAAGGGTAATGGTGTTACTTTGTCTCTGTTAGAGCTCCCCCTGCTGGTCAGGGTGGCGGCAAAAAACATTTTTTGCAAGAGCTTTGTAAACAGTGGCGATCCCACGACTCCCAAACTGCCGACCGCCTGATTTATTTCAAGCATCGGCTTATTAATTATCTCTGTTAGTCTCTACATCCTTCGTATATCCGTTATGTGACATTTGGAAATCATGCTACAGACAATCGCACCAGGTCTCTTGTTTTTTCTCTTTTCTTTTTGAACTTCAGCATGTTCATGCAGGATAAGACCAACACTAAAAAGAGAAGATGAGAACCTGAAAGACGTGTATTTCATGCTTCTGGATTATTTAATATTTCACTTGTTGTGTGCATAGCGCTGTCACTGCTGACATACATGCCGTTAATCGTTGCACTCTCTCCTCGCTGTGTAGTTTCGCGGCTGCCTGAACTGTTTACATCGCTTTCTAATTGTTGCTTCAGCCTGATGATTGTCTACAGGTGTGTGGGTGTTCAATTTGTTGATTGGAAGAGCTGCACAATTTATCTAAGTTTGAACAGTCAGTGTTTTTCTGGCCTGAATGTCCCGAATGTGTCCAAGCTGGGGATTATGAAGGAAATTCAGCTGAATGTAACGAGGCCCGTGGCTGTTCCTTCATTGTGTGTTTTTTCTATTTAATCAGAGTTTATGTGGAGTATCTGTGTTGTTTTTAACCCACAGAAAGATTTTTTTTTTTTGTGGTTTCTTTAAACTTTGGTTAATGTGAGTTCCAGACGCTTTTCGCTGCCTGCACGAGTCAAAGATGATTACCAAATCTGTGCCTGATGTTTGTATGTACTGTATGTCACGCAAACTTAAATGTGATCGCTTTAACATTATCTGATTGTTTCAATAAAGCTATATTTTAATGGTTTTGTAGATGCTGTTATGTGATTTTATGGTTTCTAAGGATGTACATGAGAATTTAGAAAAATGTCACATCTGATTACAAAAAATCTTGATGCTTTTTAAACCTCAAGTCATTTTTTTTATTTTTCATAACAAGAATTTTAAAGCAGGAGTTAAACTAAAGATACACACATGCAAAGCAAGACATATCAATATTTTTTAAAAAAATAGTTGGGAGGATGACAACAGCGACCTCGAGGCTGATCTGTAATATAATACGCAGCTGATCCATGAAAGGCTGTAAAAACAAACTGTAAACGTTTAGCCAGTGCAGCTGAATCAAAACACGAGTGGTGTGTGTGTGTGGTCCTTTCTTGTTAATGATGTTAAACAGAAATGGGGTTTTTTTGTAAGGAAGCTAAAAAAAACTCTCTGGGTCACAGGAGTCTGTTCCCAAAGGTACGCTGTTAAATCCAAGTCTTTCAGTGAGTTCAAAGCCCAAACTGGGGAGGAAAATTAGAAACTGCTGGGATTTTCCCACACAGCCGTCTGTGTTAATGCCAGAGAAGACCGGCCTGAAACTCAAATAACTACTCATGACATCTGAAGTGTGCAGAAGAGCATCTCTGAACCCACAACACATCAAACTTTGAAGCAGATAGGATGCAACAGCAGAACGCCACACCGTGTGCCACTACTGTCACATGAAACTGAGGCTGTAAGTCACATGGGCTCCAAAACATTGAGCACTTTGACCTCTTTCCAAAACAGTTGGTCTCTGCGCATTAATGATAATATCTCTGATATATTTAATTGCATACATTTAGTTTTGCAGTTTCTTGTTTGCATTAAGCTTTTAAAATGAGCAGTGTATTTAATATTTAATAAACTATATATATGTTCAACTTTTCATTACCAAGTCTCCTTTCCATATCATATCTTTTAATGTCAATGAAATGGAGGACATGATCCCCATCGCCTCACCGGTCTGTGAACAGTGGACCTCATGTTGTGAAATCTACAGATTACTTCCTGTAAAAGGTTATTTCTCTCTTTAGTTAACCTTTAAAAATTGACAAGAACACGTGGTTCAATTCAGTTGGAAAAAACAATGAAAGTCCATTCTAATGTAGTAATTGTGTCTCACCAGCAGAGGGCAGTAGCCGATCATTCTGCGGTATTTTCTCCGTGTTTGGCGCTGATATGGATTTCTGCGCAGCTTGAGAGCAAGAATGTAAACAGTGGGTCAAACAGCTGAAACAGGATGTGCGATGTCAGTTTCTCACAGAGCATTTATTTCAGTTGTTAAGCACAGAGATGGGCACGATTAGGAACAAGAGGAGAGTCACGCTCAGTGAGCATGTGGGAAGTGTGTGTGTGTTTGGGAAAAATTTAGAGGTACGTTTAAGAAATATATGCTGCAAAATTTGTTTAGCTTTTTAATATTTTTGTGAGATTTTGCTCCTTTCTTGAATATATTCTTAGACTGTTCTTTTTCCTTTACTTACACAGTTCAGTTTTTAAACCGATTTGTGACGTTTGCAGCACTGATGTGGAAACAGTTTTATTTACATTTTGCACATATCTGTGCATGCATATATGTGTATATGTCATAATAGCCCAAAGTCCATTTTCACAGGTGTTTCATTTCAAGCTTTCAGTGTGACGTATTTGCTATGTGCCCGGGGAAAGCGTTGAATGAGGATAAATGC